CGCAACCTTTCAGCAAGGCGGAGGACTGCCCCCCCCCCCCCCACGCGGCGACGGCGATGATGGGGGGAGCAGCCCCACCTCGCCTGTCACTGCCACTCCCTTCACCCGTGGATGGGGACGGTCACCACCCACCAAACCACCCCAACCCAACCCGAAGGCCCAAATGTATCCTCGATTTTTAGTGGGGGGGGGGTCGGGGAACCTTGAACAAACACATGGAACCCGTACCCCCCCCCAACCCGAAATTCGGGTCAGATTCGGGTCTTCGGGTTGGGTTGGGGTGGTCTGGCAGGTAGTCAGACGGGGGACAGCAGAGGGGGAATAAGAGAGAGAGCTCCCGCGAGGCTGCGGCGGGCCAAACTCATGCACGCTCGACGGCTTCCCCGTGCCCTGGCATCGCTTGGACGTGTGCATTTTTTTCTCGGCGAGGCCCATCGAGGAGCATCCTTGACCATTTGGCGAAGCAACCACGCACGAAACCGAAAAAAACACAGGGAATGGACGTCCGAGCGATGGCGAGGTGCCATTGCGTCCTCGGGGGCAGACGGCTTCGTGGCGCGTCGGGGGGAGGAGGAGGGGGGAGATCGGGAGGATCGGGTCGTCGGATCGGCTGTCCAGAGAGGTGCGCGCACGCGAGCAGCTGAGGGGCGGGGGGGGGGAGGCCCTGATGACAATCACAGCCCAGGGATCGGGAGGAGGAGGAGGGAGTAGGGAAAGGATGGGGAGGAGGAGGAGGAGGAGGAGGAGGAGGAGGAGGTAAATGAAGAGGGCGAGGAGGTGGTTGATGATGATTGTGATGATGATGTTGATGCTGATGACGATGATGATGGTGATGATCATGATAATGCTGCTGCTGATGATGATGCTGATGATGATGATGCTGCTGCTGCTGCTGATGATGATGATGATGGTGGTGGTGGTGGTAGTGTAGGTGATGATGATGATGATGATGATGCTGATGATGATGATGATGATGATGATGATGATGATGATGATGATGATGATGATGATGATGATGATGAGGAGGAGGAGGAGGAGGAGGAGGAGGAGGAGGAGGAGGAGGAGGAGGAGGAGGAGGAGGAGGACGAGGGAGGAGGGAGGTACCCCCTCCCTGGAGCAGCGCCCTTCCCCCCCTCCCCCCCCATTCCCCCTCGCCTCCCTCTTCGCCCTCCCCCCCCTGGCGCGCGCGGCCGAGGCGATCGCCCACCTGACTACTGCCGACAAAGAGCCGCAGGTCGGCGGGGGGGGCGCATGGGGAGGGTGCCCCTACGGCTGCGCCGCTCGGCACGGATCTTTCGCAAACCACGGGATTTCTGTTTTCCCTCACACACCCCTGCTTGCCTTGATATTCCTCCTCGTTCTGCACACCTGCTTACCCTCTCTCCTCCTCCTCCTCCTCCTCCTCCTCCTCCTCCTCCTCCTCCTGTATTCTTCGAGGTGGCCTACTTGCTGGTGAAGGCCGGGCGGCGAACGCTGCTCGGAGTTGCAAGTTGCGTGGCGCATGCCGCGAGAGCGCAGCGTCTGAGGAGACCGGTGAAGCGCTGCTTCGACCCGAAGGCGTGGAGCTTCCTGGAGATGGAAGGACCGCTCATCAGCGGACGGATGCTGCAACAGTTGCTCGGCAAGAGCGGGATGCTCGAGAAGGCCTTCGCGCCCTGAGGCTCGGGGAGGGCGCGCTCTCCTTGGGGCCTCCTCTAGGCTCGGGCTCCCTTGCGATCGGGGGGAGGCGAGAAACCGGAGGGAGTTTCGGTTCGGCCCTTGTGCCCTCTGGTGCCAGGAAGGGTCCACCTTCTCTTCGCGGGACACGAAACTCTTCGGAGTAAACCACCTTGCCGCCTTGCCTCCTCCTCCTCCTCCTCCTCCTCCTCCTCCTTCACCTCCTCCCTTTTCTTCTCCGTCTTCTTCTCATCTTCTTCGTCCTTCTCCTCCTCCTCTTCCTCCTCCTCCTCGTCCCTCTCGGTAGCCACTTGGGCTCCGAACAAGGGGGGTCCTTGGTCGGCACGGGGGCCCTGATGCGTCAGGCGATAGCGGCTGCTGGCGAGGCGTCGGCGGCTGGTGCGGCCGCGGGTGATGCGTCGGCGGCTGTTGAGGATGTGCTTAGGGGCCCCTGAAAGTGGCCAGGGTTCGCTGGGGACGCTCGGGTGCGAATCGCTCCCAAGTGGCCCCCAGCAGCTGCGACTCCCTCATCCTCTCCCTCATCGTCTCTCCTTCCCCTCTTCATCCTCATCCATCCTCACCCTCTCTCGGCTCCCACATCTCCGTCCTCATTCACCTTGCTCATCCTGATCGCCTGAGGTTTCGGCATAGGTTCCCAAAGAAAAACCTAAGCGTAATGGGCATGGCGGGGTTGGGACGGGCGCGGGACGACACGAACGGCGAATGGCGAATGACGAACGACGAACGACGAAGGACGACCGACGAACGACGAACGAGGGCCTCGACCGACGCCGAGACGGCCGAGATCGAACTAAAACCGACAGCGGAGGCGGCGGTGCCGACGTCGAACGACGACGGCCCCGACGACCCCGACGACGATTCCGACTCTCCGACGCCGACGACGAAAGGACGAATACCGACGATGAGACGCCGACGAATGATTACACACGACGAGACGGCACCGCCGGCGACGACGACGACACTCTGACGGCCCTGACGACTCGTCCCTGTTGACTCCGACTCCAACGACTCCAGCTCCGACCGACGACCGACGAGCGACGACGACCCACATACGACGACGCTCGACGACGGTCGGCCGCGGCCGAAAGGGCACCCGCCCGAGGGAAGGATTCACGGGGAGCGAGGCTGCGAGGAGGGAGGAGGTGACCAGGTGGAGGACAGAGGGAGGGAGGAGGATAGTCAGATAGGAAAGGTGAGGACGCCAGGAGGAAGAAATGAGGAAGAGCAGGAGGAGGAGGATGTGGCAATGGTGGCGTGGTTCGCGATGCTCACCCATCGGCCGTCCATCCAATGGCTCCTGATGGCTGCGCGGCGGGGCAGGGATCGCGAGGCGAGGTCCAACTTGTCCAGGGCGGCGGGTCCCTTGCCGGCCCCGCACCAGACGTGCCAAGCAAGAAGCGTGGGCACAAACTGAACGGGAGGAGGAGGAAGAAGAGGAGGAGGGGGAGGAGAACGAGGAGGAGGAGGAAGGAGTGATGAATGGATGAGGGAGGGAGGTTCGAGGAGGAATGAGAGGGAGAGAGAGAGAGAGAGAGGGAGAGAGAACGAGAACGAGAGACGGAGGGAAGAGGAGTGGAGGGTAGCGGAGGTGGGCTGAGTTAGGAAGTGCGAGGCACTCGAGGGTGGTAAGGGGAGGAGATGAGGGCTCGGGCTGAGCAAAACAACAGGAGAGGACTGAATTGACAGCAGCATGGGCCTGGCTGCCCCAACCAAACACATGCACCGCTGGTGCACTTGGCCCCGTCCCTGCGCCGCGAGACATCGATGGCGCTGAGGGGCTGAGGGGGGCCAACAAAATAAAGGCCTGTGACCATCCCTGAATTATGAGAAAGCTCATGCACTAGCCAGCGCCCACTCAGAACTGGCAGCTCCGGCACCGCCACGCGCGCCGCCTAGCGCAGCATGTGCGACAAGAGGCCGAACACTTTCGGGTCCTCGTCCTCCGCGTCAAGGGAGATCCGCCTCCTCTTCGCCGCCTCCCGCTTCTCCTCCATGCGCTTACGCTTGGACTCTGCCTCGGACTTCCTGGCGACCTCGTGGTCGAACATCTCGCGCACTACCTCAACGTACACGGGGCACTCCGCGTTCTCCTCCTCGTCCTCCGGCTCCTCTGGTGGCTCCTCTGGCTCCTCTGGCTTGGGCGCCGGCGCGATCTTCAGGTACGGCACGGTCAAGGTGAACTTCATCGGTACGGGTCCGTCGTACGCCGTGACATCGAACGGCGCGGACGTGTGCAACGTCGTGGTGACGGTGGCCTTGTCCGAGGTGGCGACGCGGGCGCACCAAGCGGGCGCGCACAGAGCACCACCAAGCTTCGAGATGGACGGGTTCGGCAGGATCCACGCGTGGCAGCGCAGAGGCGATCCGTCAGCATCTCCGCACTCGATCACTACCTCACCAGCGTCCGCACACAGCTTCGCAGGAGGGTCCGGGCCAGATAGGACGACGTTCCCGACGAAGTGGAACACCATGTCCTCCGCGAAGCTGGCGCCTTGCTCGACCCACATGCGGTCTCGGACGGCACTGCCTTCTTTGGTCTGCCTGCACAGCTTGTTCTCACCGCAGTCTGCCAGCGAGATCGGGTCGGGCTCCCGCGCGATGATGGCGAGCTCTCGCGGCGCCCGCTCGTCGTTGGGGCCGTTGGTGCCGTTGGCGGCGTCCAGGCTGCCGACGCCGGCGCCGGCGGCCGCAGCAGCAGCCGCATGGGCGCCCGCTGGAGGAGGTTCCTCGGCCACAGCGCCCGCATCCTCGGCCGCAGCAGCCGCACGGGCGCCCGCTGGAGGCGCATCCTCGGCCGCCGACGCGCCTGGCCCACTCGTGCCCAGCTGATGCTGCTCGGGCTCACCCTGCACCTGCTGGGCGGTGGCCTCCTCCAGGGTCGTCGGTGACAGCGTCTCGGCCTCGGGCAGCGATGGCACGGCGGACGCATCCTCCGCGGGCACCGTCGCGGCATCCTCCGCGGGCGCCGTATCCTCCGCGGGCGCCGTCGCGGCATCCGCGAGAGCCAGCATCTCGGGGGAGGCAGCAGCCTCAGCCAGAGCAGCAGCTTCAGCGGGCTTCAGCTCGGGCATCCTGGGCTTGCGAACGAAGCCTTGCCGCCACGCCTTCATCAGGGCCAGGGTGGCCGCCTGCTCGCACAGCCACACCCTGTAGGCGGCGATCCCCGACGTCGTCTTGCCCTGGCGAGCAACACAAGTCACGTACTTGGTCCCATCGGCGTCGGCGTGCAAGACTCTGAAATCATCGAGCTCGGCCAGCAGGTCCTGCACCGCGGGGTTGTTGGAGTCCTGGCCGGATGCCCCTGTGGACTCGGCGGACGTGCCATCAATCATGTTCCCCAAGGCCTGGTCCACGCGAGATCGCCAGTCGCCCACCAACTGCGCCTCATCAGCGCGCGCCTTCTGGAGGTCCGCGGCGACGACGCGGTCGACCAGCTCGGGCTTGGACAGCGTGGCGGCCGCATCGGTGGACACGCAGCCGTGCTGAAGTGCCTGACAGATGCCGCAAACAGAGGCCTCCTAGATGGGGTCGGAGTAGACGGGGTCGGAGGATGGCGCCGCATCACCGATACATCGGCGATGCATCGGAGATGTATCGGCGATGCATTTGTGATGCACCGGCGATACATCATCGACGTGGGCGGTGCGTCGGCGACGCCAGCGTGGAGAAAATCGGGCTCCGCATCGAGCCGCATCGTCGATGCATCATCCTCCGACCCCATCTACTCCGACCCCACCTGGGAAGCCTAGAGCAAAGGCGCGAGGGGGGGTCCAGGCCCCCGCGGGGGGGCCCTCTCTAAGTACCAATCATTGGAATCTCACTCCCCTCATCCCCTCATCCCCCCCCAGCTGGTGGGGGGGGGTGGGAGGCGAAGGCGGGCCCAGAGGGGGGGGGGAACTGATGGGGGGGAGGGGGAGAGAGGGAGGGAGGGGGAGCGAGCGGAGGGTGGGGGGTGGGGGGATGCGGGTGAGGAAGCTGAAGGCCACCTCGGCTCAACTCAACTGGGGGTCCGCATCTGTGTAACAGTGTTTGCCTCCCCCCCGAGATCGCCATGGCGCGCAAGTCCTGGATTGTGGACTTCGTGGCCTTGGCGCGGGCGGCGTGCTCAAAGGTCTTCCACTCCTGGCCAGACCGCGCCGCGGTGCCGCCACCCTCCATCAGCTCGGTCGATCGCCCGACGATCTTGGACCACATGGCCTCGCACTCGTCGACCGTGGTGTTCAGGCAATCGTTCTTCATGATCGCCCCGGTGGCACGCGTACTGAAGCGCACGGCAGCCTCAGGACACCACGAACCACTCCCAGAATCCAAGGTTGACCTCCCCGCCAACCCCGTCCGCGTGCCGCCAGAAGCGCCAGGAGGATCCAAGGCCCCCTCAGGGCCTACAGGGGCGAGGGCACGGGGGGGGGGTGACTGAATCGACTCGGGGGGTACGCGACAACCCAGGATTCAAGGGGTGGGTTCGGGGAGCCTGCAGCTTGAGGAGAGACGCCTCCGTCAACCACACGAATGAGCCGCGATCGCGGCCCTCTGTCAAGTAGGCGTGCAGCCTGTCCA